TCTAACCCCACTTTGATAGTGCACCAGCCCATACTAGAAACCTTATTTCCAGAGGCGTGGGAATCCGTGGCCTCAGCCTCCTGGGTCCCTGCTGGGATAAGGACTTAGGGGTTCAGAAGGGTTAGACAGGCTAGTATGTGTTGAGTAGGGGTCGTCACCCACATGATGCCTTTCATGCCGCTTTTTCTCTTTTAGGTGTTACAGTATCTGAACAAAATGGCTGGGAACGAATACATGGGTTTCAGCAATGCCACGTAAGGCCCCGTTTGCAAGATTGGCTGAATACATTGTGGGATAGGTGCATGTGTGATAGAGAAGGGGGATGATAGAATCTTAAGAGGAAGAAATGCAGGGCGCCTGGGTGGCTCAGTCGGTTAGGCGGCTGCCTTCGGGTCAGGTCATGATCCCAGGGTCCTGGGATCAAGCCCCACATCGGGCTCCCTGCTCGGCGGGAAGCCTGCTTCTCCCTCTCCCTCTGCCTGCCTGCCACTCCCCCTGCTTATGCTCTCTCTCTCACTTTCTCTGTCTCTGTGTCAAATAAAAATAAATAAAATCTTAAAAAAAAAAAAAAAAAGAGTTAGAAATGCAGGGGAATTTTGGCCACCCAGCTTCCTCTGAACCCATTCATTGACATTTGTTTACTTTGTAAAAGAATTTGTTCCATTTCTATTTAGTACTTAGAGAGGCAGTATGAGGCCTTATCCCTAAGCCCTTTTTTGCCAAGCCTCCCAAATCCAAAAACTTCATCAGTTTTTCCAAACTAGATGACTAGACAATTTGGGGTTTGGGGGTTTCTTTTTTACACTTTACAATAAAGCTATGGCCAGTGCTTGCTCAGGGTCAGAAGTTTCCTCCAGGATTACTGTGAGCAGTTAGTTTGACATGTGTGATCTAGTTCTGTCTCTCTTAGAGAAGGTATTTTTTCCCCTTCTCCTTAAACCCACCCCTCAAATGTCAAGTACTAAATTGGGTGTTTGCTTCAGATTCCAGTCAGAGAAGGAAACAGGGGATCGGAATTATGCCATCGGCTATTATCTAAAGGAAAAGAAGGTAACTGGGAAAGGCTGGTAGAGAAAGTCCCTGGGAATTCTGCAGCAGGGCACATGGGGTTGGGGACTTCGGCTGAGATCCTGGCAGTGTGACAGGGTCTGCTGATGGCCTGAAAAGAAATGCTCTCCCTTCTTCTTCCTTACAGTGCTTTCCTAAGGGGGTGGACATGATGGCTGCTCTTGATCTCTATTTCCAGGTGAGCAAACACTGCTGTTCAGCTCAGGGCCAAGGGAACAGGACAGACTGCCATCCTTGCTCTGATCCACAAGAGGGATGCTCCTCTCCAGGGGTTCTGGTGTCCTTCAGAAACACCAGGGGAGCTTTTTGAAAGATCGGGATGCCAAGAACATGGCTCTGCTCCCAAGAACACAGTGCTCATGATCCACACTGCACCCTCACCTCTGCCTTGTCTCCATAGCTGTGCTCCGTGGAGGTGACCTGTGAGTCAGGCAGTGTCATGGCAGCCACCCTGGCCAATGGCGGGATCTGCCCCATCACAGGAGAGAGTGTACTGAGCGCTGAAGCAGTACGCAACACCCTCAGCCTCATGCACTCCTGCGGCATGTACGACTTCTCAGGCCAGTTTGCCTTCCATGTGAGTGCTTCTGGCCCTGCCATCCGTTTGCCACTGGTCCAGAGCCAAAAAGTGAGGACAGGCTTCTTCCTGCCTCCCCTTCACTAACTTCCAGCCAGGCAGTTAGGCTGAGAGTCCTTAGGAGTGTTTGTCAAACACACTGAGTCCCTCAAACACATCAATACGTGATGTTGCAGCTTCTGAACCCCCCTTCTGCCACCCTTCATGTTCCTGGTGCTTCTCCTCTAGGCCTCAGTGTAGAGTCACTTCCTCAGAGGCTTTACTGACCATCCTGCCTCTGGTAGGCCCCCCCGCACTGCATTCTCTATCACAGCACCCTGCTTCTTTCCTCCCGTGTTTTCTCATAAGCTGTGATTCTTTTTGTCTCTTGATCGTCTATCTCCTACCACCGGGATGAAGTCAAAAGAGACCGTCCTAGTTCTAGGGCAGCATCAGGCACAGCATAGACCCTCAACAAGTATTACTTACTTACTGAAGCCATGAGTTTAAGGGGGACAGAACAGGAGAGGAGTAAGAAGCTAAGTAACAAGCCAGGAGGTTGAGATGGACATGACTTTGCCTGTGCAAAGTTAGTCCATTTGGGATGGACTAACTTACTAATCCAGACTTGAGGGCACCTCTAGGTCATCCTCAGTCTCAACTTTATCCCCAAGGTGGGCCTGCCGGCCAAGTCAGCTGTGTCAGGAGCCATCCTCCTAGTGGTACCCAATGTAATGGGAATGATGTGTCTGTCACCTCCGCTGGACAAGCTAGGGAACAGCCATAGGGGCATCAGCTTCTGCCAGGTGAGTTACTTTGCATAAAGGTCTTAATGGTTTTAAATGAGTAAATGAAACAACTTTGAGCTCCTACTAAGTACAGGGAGTAAGTAAACAATCTCTTTGGTTTACAATTCTAGAAGTTGGTATCTCTCTTCAATTTCCACAACTACGACAACCTGAGGCACTGTGCTCGCAAATTAGACCCACGGCGTGAAGGGGGAGAAGTTCGGGTAAGGAAAACCCCAGGTGGCTTGTAAGAATATTCAGAATAGGAAAAAAAAAAAAAGAATATTTCAGAATAGAACATTCCATTAATGCTTTAGCAATACCCTTGGCTAAGCATCTTTGGAGAAGGGTCACAGGGCAGAGCTGGGCATGGGTGAGCTCAAAGTCACAGTTAATCTCAGGTGGGTCTTTGTTTTCCAGAACAAGACTGTGGTGAACCTGTTATTTGCTGCCTATAGTGGAGATGTCTCAGCCCTTCGAAGGTACCAAATAAACACAGTAAAATACTCCTGGTCAGAGATCTCATTAGGAGTCAACACAGCAAAATAGTTAAGTGCTTCAGCTTTAGAGCCAGATAGAATGGATACAGACTGCATTTAAATGAGATTATTTTAAGTACAGTAACTGCCTTGTGATAAGAATTTAAATAATGACAGCCATGTTATGATTAACCGGGGTGTTAAGAGCAGAGTCCTAGGAGGTAAGTAAGGACCCTGCCTCAAGTAGATCACCAACATCAACAAACATGTACTGAGCACCTACCACGGGTAGGCGGTGATGTTTCTGGAAACATCACACCCCTGTCTGATTTGGGAGTAAGTCTCATCTGGGTATAGAACATGATTATGCAGGGTCTACAGATCTTAGCAAGCTCTGTTTTACTTTTTCTGGAACCTATCCAGTCTGGAACCCCACTTCAGAAAAGACACTAGTGATTCTAGGCTGATCTGGGTAACTCCAGCTGCTTTCCACTACCCTCAGGTTTGCCTTGTCAGCCATGGACATGGAACAGAAAGACTATGACTCCCGCACAGCTCTGCATGTTGCTGCGGCTGAAGGTATCTGAAGGTTAAATAAAAGGGGAAACAGATCTTAAGACCCTTTTTCCTTTTTAAAAATATTTTATGCTTTTTTTTTTTAAGTAAACTCTATTCCCAACGTGGGACTTGAACTCACAACCCTGAGATCAAGAGTTGCATGCTCTACCGACTAAGCCAGCCAGGCACCCCCAAGACCCTTTCCTTTCTACCAAGTACTCTTCTACCAAGAGTACTCCCTATTGTATATGCCCTTAAGATTACAGGGGCTGCAGCTAGTTTTGTCCAGATGCCCTGCAGTTTGCAGGCCAACTATTATTGGGTGCCACAGGGAGCAAAATGGGAAGAAGCCTTTCCCCCTCCCCTCTTGGTTCAGACTCCAGCTGCCAAGGTCTGTACTAATGTTAACACCAAAAGGTTGAGGATGTGTACCATCTCGTGTTCCTTCTGCTCATATTCCTAGGACACATCGAAGTTGTTAAATTCCTGATTGAAGCTTGCAAAGTGAATCCTTTTGTCAAGGACAGGTGAGTAAGATTAAGCTAAAAAGGGGTGGGGCTTGGGCAGCAGCTTCTCTACCACTGCCCTCCAGCCACCACAGTCATGTATATAACCATAGCACTGGGGATGTCTTCTTCGCCCAGTCACCATCTTCGTTCCTTTTAGGTGGGGCAACATTCCCCTGGAAGATGCTGTGCAGTTCAACCACCTGGAGGTGGTGAAACTGCTTCAGGATTACCAGGACTCCTACACACCATCGGAGACTCAGGCCGAGGCAGCGGCTGAGGCCCTGTCCAAAGAGAACTTAGAGAGCATGGTGTGAGCATGGGACATGCACACAGTCCCTGCTCAAGGAAAAGCACGAGCTGGCCACACACTCAATCCATAACCACCAAACATGCTATGGAGAGTCACACTGCTTCAGTGGGGACCAAGACTTAGGCCACTGCTTTCTGTGAGAGTGAAAATACCCCATTCCCTTGGCAGAGTATAGAGAAGTGCCTTGGTGGACACATGCAGTAGAGCAATCCATGGAGACAGTGAGCTTCTGCGAGGTACAGCCTAATGGTTTGGCCCACTCAAAATCATCCCAGGTCTTCACCCAGGTCCCCTCTCCCTCTCCCTAAAGAAACCATCATGAGTGAGAGACAGAGATACTCTGGTAAAGGGGCCCTAGCCACCATGCACAGGTATATATCCACAAAGGAAGTGGGACAGCCACGTACCAGGCTTTAATAGTCTGGACAGGTCTGCCCTCGTTGGCTGGAAAGTACTGCTGCAACTGCTAATTTTATAGACAGAGAAAGTATTTTGTGCTCAAATAAACTTTAATTACACAAATTATTATTTTTGTTAAACCCAGTCCTTCTCCCTCTCCCCTAGGGGTATCTAGCTGCCTTGCCATCATAAAGGTAGACTAAGAGGGAACCACAAGGTCAGACAGAGCCTGAGAATACCTATTTCACATACATACTCATCCCACCACGTTTTCCTCAACCCTAAATATTACTATAGGTTAACTGTATTCTGCTGCCAGAGGTCAGGTTGGGTAGGGGACCGGGGCGGTAATGCGTGAGGGTTTGGGACTGAGCAGGTCCAAAAATGGATTGTGCAAGACCTCAGGCCTCCCTCCTCACTCTGGAAGTTCCAACTGTGGCAAAAGTATCTTGTCTTCTTTGGGCATGGTTGTAACTGGCCCAGTGATTATAACAGATTGACCAAATGTCAGAGGTGTGCAGATTAAGGCAGATGGACTCTGGGTGGTGATAGCTGTAGCAGTGTGGGGCTGAAAGTCTGGCACTGAGGTACTGGGGAAGGAGGGCTCTGTTTCATTCAGACACAGTCAAGCACTTCCTGAGGGAGCCAGAGCCCAGACTCTATGTGCTATAGAGAGAAAGGGCCAAGTCACTGCACCACTCCTCCAGCCAGAGGTAGAAAGGATTTACTCTGGAGAGATCCTATAGAGTCCCAGGGGGGGAAAAAATTACATGGGGGCAAAGGGAGGCGGAGGTATCACAGTGATGAATAATTCAAACAAAGTTGAAAGCTAATACCCCAGGACTGAATGCAGTCTGAGAAAGGTCCGGGCACAGGGAGGCAGAGGGACTGAAGGAAGCCAGTCAGGCAAAGTACACTCATGATAGCTTAGGAAACTGGCAGTAGTTTGAGGGAGGGGAAGGGTGGCTGTATGCCCAGCTTTCACACAGTATGGGAGAGGAAGAAGACTTAGATATTGCACAGAGAACCCAACACTGCATTTCGAGAATTAGAGATTGCTTGGTGGCAAAATTAAAAGGTTTCAGACACTTTCAGAGGAGAATGGCCAAGAGCATGATTAGGGACTCCAGTGAGTGACATACTAGAGGCCTTCAGGCACCTCAAGCCCTGAGTGGGTCAGCAGCTCTCCATCCCAAAGGGCAAAGGCAGGTACCACTGGACCTCGGAAATCTGTCTGTAGCGTGTGGACCACAGCGACCCTGCTCACATCCACCAGGCTCAGCTTCTGGGCCTCATACTCCAGCAGTAGCCCCACCTTCTCTGGCTGCCCGATGCCCTCAAGAGGGGCTTTTTCTTTGGCCAACATGGTGTGCCACTTGCGCTGGGCATAGGTGAACACCCAGGAACGATCGTCCACACCGATGCAACTATCCCGGGACATGTCCACATCTGCCACTCCTATCCGGAACTGGTGGGAACGTTTCACTGTCACCTCCCAGTAGTGCCTGCCACTGGTGACCGCTGTGTCTGCCAGCACCACTGCCCACTCCCGGAAGCGCTCCACATTCAGGGCCAACTTGGTGGGCTCCAATCCCACTATGCCATATTTGACACCTGTGTCACCTTTGAAGAGCGCCAGGCTGCTGTGGGCGGTTTTTTCTTCCAGTTTGAAGCTGATGGCTGCGAACAGAGCAAAGAGATGGAATGATGACGGGGGTTAGAACCCTAGATCTAATGATACATACATATTACGATCTGAAAGGCAGTCATGAGTTCACGAGTACACGGGAAAGAGTCAGAATGTCACGCGGGCAAGAGTGCGACACTTTAATATGGGCCTTCGGACTGGGGACGGCTCGGGATTAAAAAAAAAAAAAGATCGTGCCCCATGTTTGGGAAGACCAACGCAGGTCGGGAGGGGAAATGACCCAAGAGGGCTCCCGGGAATAACGGAAACCATTTTGGACATAAAAGAGAGTAAAAGGAAATAATCTTACCTCTGCGGGCTTCGGCTGCGGCAACCCCCAATCGTTTGGCTCCCCAGCGGCACAGGCAGAGCGAACGTACAAAAGGCAGCGCCATCTTGCGCCAGGGATGAACAGGGCACGCCCCCCCCCCCCCCCCCCGCCTGAGACCTCGCCATCTGCCCTCCTGCTCCTTTCCGACGTGGTGCGCGAGTGGCCGCCGCGCAGTATGATGACGTAAGAGAGCCAGTGCCCAGTAGGGGAGCCGCCATTTTAATGAGTTCTGCTGTAGGTCAGCCCGTGGTTGGTACAGTTTTTTTCCTGAGGGGACTACTGCTCACGTTTTTACGAAGTAGGACATTTAAAAAAGATGGTGTAGGGGCGCCTGGGTGGCTCAGTTGGTTAAGCGGCTGCTTTCGGCTCAGGTCATGATCCTGGAGTCTCAGGATCGAGTCCCGCATCGGGCTCCCTGCTCAGCAGGGAGTCTGCTTCTCCCTCTGACCCTTCCCCCTCTCATGTGCTCTCTCTCTCTCTCAAATAAATAAATAAAATCTTTAAAAAATAAAAAAGATGGTGTAACAAGATAGCAAAAGTATAGATTTTAGAATTAAGCAACAATCGAATTCGAACCCGGCTCCACTCTGTGACTTTGGGCAAATCACTTAACTTCTCCGAGGCTTAGTGTTTTCATTTGTAAAACAAAAAATAACTTTTAGACCTTGGCAAAAATTAAATGAGAGAATAACCTAGAATACAACTTGACAAATAGCAACCACTAGGTTAAGTGACAGGTTGTTTGAATAAATAATAATGTGTAAATACTGTAAATGTTGGTTTTGTATTTTCAGGGTTATTGGAGGACTCAAAATCTCTACCTTATATTTCTTTGCTGATTTGCAGATTTGTATATCCAACATCCTATTAGACATTCCAACCTGGATGTTCCCTTCCCCCCACTCACCCTGCCAGCCAGTCACCTCAAACTTAACATGTCTAAAACTTACTTTGTTCTAAAACTTACTTGGTCTTCCTACACAAGCTTCCTCCTCTGCGTAGGTTCCCTGACTTCTGTGAACTGCAACCCATAACCAAACAGCTGCCCAGGCCAGAAACCTGGAAGTCCTTGACTTCTTTGTCTCCGTCGTCTCACATATCTGATTGTCCTTGAACCCCAATCACATTATTTCTCCCCTGGACTATTGCATTAGCCTTCTAACTGGACTCCTCATTCTCCCCAGTGCTGCGAGGAGGGAACATTTAAAGAGGCAACTCCGTATCTCACCTATTAGGTGTTTTTTTTTTTTTTTTTATTTAATTGACGGAGAGAGAGAAAGAGAGATAGCGTGAGAGGGAACACAAGCAGGGGGAGTGGGAGAGGAAGAAGCAGGCTTCTGGCTGAGCAGGGAGCCCGATGCGGGGCTGGATCCCAGGACCCTGAGATCATGACCTGAGCCGAAGGCAGTTGCTTAACCAACTGAGCCACCCAGGCGCCCCTATTAGGTGGTTTTTTTGTTTTGAGATTTTATTTATTTGAGAGAGAGAGAGAGAGCATGAGCGGGGGGAGGGGCAGAGGGAGAAGGCGACTCCCCGCTAAGCAGGGAGCCCCATGCGGGCTCAATCCCAGGATCCTGAGATCATGACCTGAGCCAAAGGCTGACCCAGAACCCAGTGAGGCACCCAGGTGCCCCTCACCTGTTAGGTTCTTAAGAATAGGAATTAAGAATGGGTTCTTGGGGCGCCTGGGTGGCTCAGTCGGTTGAGCGACTGCCTTCGGCTCAGGTCATGATCCTGGAGTCACGGGATCGAGTCCCGCATCAGGCTCCCTGCTCAGCGGGGAGTCTGCTTCTCCCTCTGACCCTCCCCCCTCTCATGCTCTCTCTCTCTCTCATAAATAAATAAAATCTTTAAAAAAAAAAAAAGAATGGGTTCTTAAGAGTTCTTAGGAATGGGGATTAAGTCCTTTGTGCCCTAGGGCCTTAGTACAGAGTAAACGTACTGTTGTTTTTGTTTTTAAGATTTTATTTATTTGACACAGAGAGACAGCGAGAGGGAACACGGGGTGGGGGGTGGGGAGAGGGTGAAGCAGGCTTCCCACTGAGCAGGGAGCCCGATGTGGGACTCGATCCCAGGACCCTGAGATCAGGACCTGAGCCGAAGGCATACGCTTAACAACTGAGCCACTCGGACGCCCTGTACTGTTGTTTTTGAATTAATTAATGAATGAGCATGAAGGGAGAAAGTTTTGTGCCCATGTTCTTGGAGTGCAGTGGCTGGCTCATTCTCCACCAGGGGTCAGCGTGGTCCAGCCTTTACAACCTGCCTAATGTGTGAGAAGAGAGGTTTCTATTCCTCGTAAGTACAGGAGCAAAGGCGTGGAGGACAGATTTCCTTCAGAAAAGTTCTGCTCTGTCAATCCTTTGCATTTTGGTGGTAATGAAAGGAAAGTTCCTGGGTTCTGTTTCTGTAGTTTTTCTCCTTAGGTTCCATCCTAGATGTGAGAGCTAAAGCAATCACTGCACATTCCTCACACTGTCACTTAGACACACCTCTACTACTTTATTCCCACTCAGGAAATAGATTTTTGCCTGTCATCTCTTGTATTATTTTACTTTCGCAGACTGACCATCCACCTAATAAACACACCTTCATCATTCAGATGATTTACCTACCTTGTTGCTAATATACAAGTAATTCTTTTTTTTAATTTTTTTATTAACATATAATATTTTATTTCAGGGGTACAGGCCTGTGATTCATCAGTCTTGCACAATTCACAGCGCTCACCATAGCACATACCCTCCCCAGTGTCCCATCACCCAACCACCCCATCCCTCCCACCCCCTCCACTCCAGCAACCCTCAGTTTGTTTCCTGAGATTAAGAGTCTCTTATGGTTTGTCTCCCTCTCTGGTTTCGTCTTAAAGTAATTAACTCTTAACATTCCCGTGCATAATAATTAAGAAGTGGTAGAGTTTCACTTGACAGTCAAAAGGGGAAAAGACATTCAAGGTATAGGGAACAACTTCTGCTAAAGCACTGGGTAATGAAATAGAATGAGGTATTTGGGAGCCACAAGAAGCACAAAATTGTCAGGGCCTCATGCTGGGGAGATATGGAGAAGGTTGGAAAAGTTGAGGCTGAATTATGAAGAGTCATGTATTCGTAGTAAGAATGTCTTTCAGGCGTTTAGGAACTGTTGAAGGGACACAAGGAGATGACAAATTACAGGTACTTTTATTAAAGATTTTATTTATTTGAGAGGGAGAATATGAGTGGGGGGAGGGGCAGAGGGGAGGGAAAAGCAGACTCCCCAAGATCATGACCTGAGCTGAAGTTAGATGCTTAACCAACGGAGCCACCCAGGTGCCCTTACGGGCACTTTTATAAAGATAAAACTGACAGCAACATGGAGAATGAATTGGAGGGAATGAGAGCACAAACAGGGTCAAATGGGGTCTGAAGCCACTAGAGTCCTCAGGTGAGAGATGGTGTGGGTTAAGCCATCTGAGAGGTAGAATTGATGAGAGTTTTGGTGACAGGTTAGGTGGGAGTGAGAGGATGGGGAAAGGAGTCAACGCTGATTCACAGGTTTCTGATTTAATGAGGGGATATAAAAGGAAAAGCATGTGGGATTTTTTTGGTTTTTTTTTAAGATTTTTATTTTTATTTATTTGACAGAGAGAGAGAGAGAGGGAGAACAGAAACACAAGCAGGGGGAGTGGGAGAGGGAGAAGCAGGCCTCCCGCTGAGCAGGGAGCCCGATGCGGGCCTCAATCCCAGGACCCTGGAATCATGACCTGAGCTGAAGGCAGATGCTTAACGACTGAGCCACCTGGGTGCCCCAGGAAAAGCATGTTTTAATGGGGGAAGATAATTCATTCTGTTTCAGACAGGCTGTACTTGAGATGTCTACGGGACACGCAGGTGAAAATGTTCTGTAAATATGTGGATATAAATTTAAGGGAGAGTGGAATAGGCGAAGTCATCCAAGGAGAGGCTGTCAACTGAATAGGTAGGGAATAAACTGATGGTACAATCCTAGTGAAAACCAGTATCTGAGATAACACATATACTGTTAAGTACTCAGAACAGGTTCTAACCATAGTAAACATTGATTTGTCTGGCTTGGGGTTATAACCGACTCCCTAGGAAGAGCAGGGGAGAAGGAGGCAAGTACAGGATGGGTTAGTCTGTTTTCACTCTGTTTCTTAGATTACCGCATTTCTAACATGTGGGGGTCCTTACCTGATCCAAGTGCTAATTGGAGCCCTTAACTATAGATGCGAGAGGGATGATGCACTCAGAGCTTGGTGATTGTTCTGGACTTTGCCAGGGAGTCAGCAGTCAGCAAAGCAAACCAGAGAAAGAGAGAGAAAGGGGGCCCTCAGGAGCTAGCCAAAGGGGCTGCTAGGCTGGCTTGTGCTATGCTAGGGCCTTTGTCCTATGAAACTGTCCACACAATGGAGCTGGGTTACATGCTGATCTGGCATTCTGAATATGGGGCTAGGATAGAGATTCCACGTGGTGGATGCAGAGATGGATGTTCACCCAGCCCCTCAGGACCATATCTCGATTCACCGTATATTGTAATTGCCAGAGAGGATGTTCAATACTTGATAATCATAAATTGTGTTTATATCTGATTAGTTCATGAACCACTTCATTTACATTTGAAGGCAGCTAACTTAACATGTGTATATTGCCTGGGTATATCTCATTTGATCCTCATACAATCCTGTAAGATCAGCAAGTTAGATATTTTTATGGAACTCAGACCTAGGTTATTCTTTAGGTCTTGATGATATGGGCTGGCTGTGGAGTAGCTTCAGAAAGTTAGTAAACTGGTTCTGGATAACGTCAGAGGTGGCTATGGTAATCACATGAGACCTACTGTGGAGAAATGAGACAAGACAAATAGCTCTGCCTGCAGATTCCCTGAGATTTATAGATGAACTTGCTCCCTAATATTATGGATTATGCTTCCTATGGCACCTATCAGAGACTGAGAAATGGAGCCTTCTTTATTGAAGGGGGTATAGTAAATTTAGAATCCCGAGCCCCAGGAATATAAAGAGTTTAGAAGGCTGATTGTTAGTAATCAAGAGGTAACTCAGTCTAGTGTAGAGACAGATGAGACTCCAGGATGATCACTACTACAAG